TATATATATATATATATATATATATATATATATATATATATATATATATATATATATATATATATATATATATATATATATATATATATATATATATATATATATATATATATATATATATATATATATATACATTTACAATTTAGTTCATATATTATCAACTTGAATATACGATATTTATTGTAAATTTAATAAATGCATATTTACATGTTAAACAATATACTTTTTTAATACAAGATTTTCACTGATTCATACACCACCAAGTACCGCATTACAAATACAAGCTGGAGGTGTAAAAACCCACTACAAAAAATCAGACATAGAATCAGGTGTCCGAGCTGACGAATGAGCAACTTGATTCGCTGACTTTCTAACCACCGACTATGTTAGATACTCGAACTATGTTGTAAGAAACAATCGAATATAATATCCGTGAAAAAAATAAATCCGGAACATTATTTTAGATTGAAGAGCCTTGAAGATTGTCCCATTGTCCACCTCTATTGTAATCTTCTCTCTTCCCAGACAATGTTAGTGAAAACAAAACTTAAAAGTTGTAATATACAAGCCATAAGCGAAAATCTGAACATATAAAAACCAGCTTTTTTGCTTATCTTATTATGAAACTGCAAAAAAATGATTACACAAGCATTTAAAATCAACACGAAATAAACACTCTCAAATGCCATAAACAACGGGATATATACTAAGATGGTGATACCATTTTGACCTCAAGCATTACACAAGACAATAAAGGTCCATACGAGAACATATTTTTATTGTGTGTCTGTGTAATGCTTGGGGTCAAAATGGTGTCATTATCTTGGTGTCCCCCTACCAAACCATGTATAAATTTTTGTTTATATCTCTAAATTGTCAACAAACCATGTATAAAATCATTGTTTTCTATATATCCATATTTATAAAGTCATTGATTCTTTGTAAATAACTTTTGTTCATTTCCTTTGAATCTTATACATGAAGGAGTTTATAGATGTGTGTTGTTATATCCACTCATTTTGCTAAATCTACTCAATTTATTGTAAATAGATTATTTTGCGCTTAAAAATACAAAAAGAAATGTAATTTGGATTTTATGTGCAAAGTTGTTCATGTAACATAAACATGTACGCACGCCCCATCACGCATGGTCTAGATTTTGTGATATTAAGATTTGAAGGATATGGCCATTTGCATTTGTGGGCATGGGTGCGGGGAGACTTGACAATGTAGACGCATGAATGACTCGTTTTCCTTACGCAAGACATGATTCATAGAGCTATAACTTGTAATGCACTCCAAGAAACAACACAATACCCATCACAAAGGTTAGAAACAATTTACTTCTTCTATCCCATAGTATTATTCATCCAATTTTTTTAAATCAATACGGACAAACTTTGAAAACAAAACACCCCGAGTAAAAGTTATGTTGCATATTAATACGACAAATCAATTTTTTAGAAGTATTTTTCCGACTAAATCTAACGGAGTCAATTATTTTTGTATTAATCTGCAATATAGTTTTAATTTAACCGATAGAAATTTATCTAGTTTGACTGTATGGTATCAAAGTGTACGATACTCTCGGGGACAGAGAAAGTAATAAATACTCCATATACACGCAACCATTCAGCCACAGTCTGTGTAAGTGTAAGTGTAAGTTTGGAGACACTCTAGCACGATGACAAACATATTTTTTGCATTTATGTTTTTCTGCTTCAAAAGCTCAAACCTTCAAAAGAAAAGAGAACTTGCACATTATGAACATAAGTGCCTCAATTACCAAACAGAATAGAGCCAGGGACTGAATAACTTCGTCTGTTCATTTCACATTGCCCGGGAACAAATTTGTGTGCCACACTGCCACTTGCATGAATCACCAAGAGAGACGTTAGTACAAGCAAGATCTCATAGCATGCCATCAAAAGCGGAATTGGACAATTGAAAAAAAGACAGACAGAGAGGAGGGTTGTGTTAAAAAGATGCTGATTTCCTTTTTCTTGTTGGGGGAAATATGAAGGGAAAAAATAGTTGCACACTTATGGTAATTGGACACCACAAGAGCTTGTCACAGAAGTGTTTTGACATGCAAAAAGGTATATGCCACTAACAAGATAAATCAACATGGGTACAATATTAAGATGTGCCACGGGATGGTTGTGCAGGTCTGCGAATATACCAGAAGATCAATCGACATTTTGCTTACACTTCTCCCCATCCGCTACTGCTTCGTACAAACTTGTCAACAATTCCAAACTCTTTATTTTGTGCAAGCCTACGGGTATAGTTTTCAGTTGAAATATGCCCCTTTTTGTACCTCCGGTAATATACGATTTCCCAAGGCCACAATCTAGCACACCCAAAGCAATCTTCTACGGGCAAGTTTTTCTGCATTTCTTCTGGACCTTCCAATCTGTAGTGTTTTAGAACCATGTCAACCTCATCTGAGGATAGTTTCATCAAAGTAGAAACATGTGAGCGCTCTGAGATTTGGACATCTGGAATCACGTCAAGAGCCTTTTCATGTTGCTCAGTCAAATCATTACTGTTTTGAAGTTCCCCTGTCCCTACCAGAGTGTGTGAAAACACGCTTCTCACCATATGATCACCAGTGTAGGATTCCGAAGCATGTGAATCTTTCACTTCAAATGAGTTGTCTGAGCTTGCATCACTTTTTTCCGGTGGTTGCCCTTTCAACTCATTATCCTTTAACTCTGAGACAAAATCCTTCTTCTCTGTGCGTGTCTTGTTTGAAGATAAAGATCGATCTAGTGATCCAGATAAAGAGTGGAATATAGGAGAGGCTGATCTTGAATGTGATGTTGAGCCAGACCTTAAACTAGAGTGCTGGGAATTTCTTCTGGCAGGTGATGAATTTGGCATTAAATCCGAAGGCTGAGATAAGGACTTTAATGACCTTGAATGTGAATGTGATCCAGAAGCAGTACGATTGGAACAAGTTGAATTTGTGACTGGTACCCTGTCATTCTTTGAAAAACTTGGGGTTTCAATAGTTGCTTTCTTTCGCTTGTTTTTCCCGTAGTCCTTTCTCCCTCTTCGATGAGCAGTTCTTTCCCTTGAAGGATCTCTATGTCTTGACCTATCTCTACTTCTTGAATTTTCTTTTTCTTTGACATCTACTTGTAGGCTTGAAGGTACTCTATATCCACCAGCATTGGGACGTTCCCTTTCTGTTTCTTCTTCTGCCCTACTAGGAGAAGCTGATTTTTCCATGCAGGTCAAATGATGTAGTTCATCTATCTCATCAGTGCAGGAAGGCACATAACGGTCAAACTCTGGCCCATCTTCGAGGCCATTCTGATACAAGGGTTCAAGACATTGCTCCTCCACTTCACCATTTTCCAAAACTGTTGCCTCTCTCCCTCCACTGTAATCAGGGAAATCGTCCACCGAAGTATGACCCTCTTCATAGCGTTGATGGCTTGCATAGTCATCAACTTGCCCAGCATGCACAGTTCTTCCACCATCTGTCTCTGTTGCTGACCTAAGCTCCCTTCTATGTCTTCGGTGACTGTTGTAATCAAAATCTCGAGAAACTTGATCATGTCTTCCAAAATGTTTCCCTCTTGGTGGCTCAAAGGACCTAGTACTCATAGAAAATCTCCGGAAAGGCTTTGGCTTAGGCTGCATATTTGACCATGATAGAGTTATTGGCTTTCCACAGATGGTCTTACCTCGAAGCGTGTTCAATGCTTTCTCTGCATTTGCAGGGTAATCATAAACAACAAATCCAAATTTGTCTTTCAAACGTACGGTACACCTTCCAAACCTATGGAAAACATGCTCCAGTTCATCTCTACGAATATGAGGCGGTATATTACCAAGGTGCAGCGACATCTGCATGTGTAAAAAAAATCCATTATTCAGGAGTGCTTCAAGCCAGCTTGGTCGTATACACATCCTGTGTACAATTTATGACCAGAAAACACTATTGGTGCCTAGACCACCCCCTATACATTGCATTTAAGAGAGCGCACATGCTTGACTAGTTGTTACCCTTAGTTCCATCTAGCACGACATAGACCTAATCACAGAAAATTGGTGACTAATTCATTCACTACCGAGGCAAATGACCATATCAATTTCCTGGCCGCTGCCATTAACTGTGAGAAAACAGGATGACATCATGGCTAAGATAATTCATTGAATCTCAATGGCTTAATGAAGAATTAATCCATCCATATACTTTTGAAGAAGATTTGGCATTTGGCATGGCAGCATTGCATTCGGCAACAAATTTCACATTATTTGTTTGAACAAATCAAAATAAGTGTAAGAAGCTCAGTATCTTAACGAGACTACCATCCATAAAGTATTAAAAACTTGTGAGCCAAAGTGGGATCAAAATTTCAGCACACTTGCATAGCAGTGATCTCCAAATCATTATTATTCCCCCGACCAATAAATTCAAACTCTGTTTTAAAAATAGCAAATACTCATGTAACAAAACTATGCATTTCCATAGAACTACTTGGTAAACAACCAGCAAGTGTGGAAAAATAAATTTATTTACAAGAATTAGAATCTTTCCAAAATAATGAATCATTTAACATATGAGACCATTGATGCATATAAAGATGAAGTTCTCCACATACAAATAGTTGCCTAATCTTATACTCCCTCTGTCCCACACGCATAACAATGTTTGATTGAATTTATTTTCAATTCAGTTTATATGAAGAAAGGTAAGATTAAAAACAAAATTTATATATTCAAACATTACATCAAAAGCTCTAGAGTACAAGAGATGACAACAATATATCATTTTATCCAATGAGTAGTGAAATTAACATGATGTTTGGTTCAAGGAATTTGAGGGGAAAGGAAAAGAAAATGAGAAGGTAAACAATTTTCTTATTTGGTTAGGGGGGAAAAGAAAATGAGAAGGCAAAAAGTATCAAGGGAAGGGAAACCCAAATTTCTCCCATTTTGGTGAGAAAAATGAGGGAAAACTATTTTCTGTTCTTTCCCCTTCAAATTCCTTGAACCAAACATAGTGTAAAGAAAGAAAGTAATAAAAATTTGACCCTCAAATAGTGAATGGGCAAATCTTGTGGGGAGGAGGGAGTATTATTATTATTATTATTTTATTTTTATTTATTTATTTATTTATTTTTGGTTTGGGGGGGGGGGGGGG